CGTTTGGTGACTTCTGTATTATAATATCATGCATTTAGACATGTTTCCCGGAGACCAATATGCGGCATCGGTCTGTCCCGCCTTAGAAAACGATCACAATTACGATACGAATTCAAATAACGTATATGTTTTTGTTTTTTTCCGTATCTGGCACTCGCAAGCTATTCGTTTTCGACGTCGAAAATAATGTCATCATTACGATACGGTATAATAGTATCGTTTAACGACAGTTGAAATAGATTGACAAACGTTCTGTAAAATTGTTCGAAATGCACTACCCGCGGGGCCGTCATGATAACGCCCAACTACAATGACCGTTGCTACCTATAGGACTACGTTGAACGTACGACATAAAAATATAATATTATTATGTGTGACGTGGAGAAATATAAAAACGTATTTTTAAATAAATGACGCCGGCAGGGGTCGAAACACAACACGCTCCGTACTGTGTACGGTGTGTGTTGGCGGCGAGCGTTACTCACTATTATTTCTCGCCCGGGGGCGATAGAGATAATACACGTTACGCGATCGCCGCCGTGCTCGCTTCGAGTATAATATTATAATATTATTCACGACAATAATAATACGCGTTTCACCGTACGGCGGCGGTGGCTCGCGTAGGCACCCGCAATAATAGTAATAATAATCCATCGTCGAAACATAGTTCGAAATATTGTGTGTTATAAAATTATAATATAATATTATTATCATCACTATCTCATCGTCATCATGCGACCAAAAGTGATACCGACCGACCGGGCCAACGCCGTCGACGGTCTCTCTCTCCCACCGGGGCCTGTCCGCCGCCGCCGCCGCCGCCGCGCAGCAGCCGCGTCCCGTCGACGACGAGTGGTAAGTGGTAACCGCCGCCGCGTGCGGTGAGTCTGTGTTCTTCCGCGCGCGCGTATGTGTGTGTGCGTGTGCGTGTAAACGGCCGACGCCGGACCAGTGTGTGTGGTGGTTGTGTTCTCAGTCAGTGCGTCCACTGAGATCGGCACCGGCCGCCGTCTCGCGCTCTCTCACCAATCGATACACACCCGTCATAATAATAATATATCAATATAAATTTTGCAACGCAAAAAATTGCACGCATACGCATGACGGATGCATCAAGTAGTCCCTGTACAATAAATGCGAGTAGTTTTTCTGTTTTTTTTTTCGTAATTGTTTCGTTCTAGCCACAAGTAACCGCCACAGAATTTCGATCAGTTTTCCGTGCGTTCAGGGTAGTTGTGTCTCTCTAGAGAAATCACGCTTATAACGGTCTAAACTAGTCTGCCGGACGGATTTTTGTTGATGTTTCGTTGACGCTGGGTGGGTGTCCGTTCACCGCCGCCGAATAGTCACTGCATCCCGTCGCGCGTTTATTATGTTGCGAATGCTCCGGAGATCCAACAGCAACCGCTCCAATTGCTCCGCTGACACCGTAGTCATACCCAACGCTAACTACGACCACGGTAGTAGTACCGACAACACCAAAGGCACCACCACCGCCAACACCAAAAGCACCATCGCTGCCAATACCAGAGGCACCACCGCCGCCCTTACCAGAGGCACTACCACCGCCTATACCAAAGGCACCACCGCTGCTATCACCACTCCCACCGCCGCCACTAACAACGGCGTAGGCACTACCGCCACCATCACCACCAGCACCAACAGCGGCGGTGGTGCAGGTGGAAATACCAGCAACGCCCGTAGTTATACCGCCGTATCTGCTGCCGCCGCAGCCGCTGGTAACAATACCGTCGCTGCTAATCACTACCACCACAACAACAGATATTCGATGGTCGAGTCCACCACTTGTTCGCCGAACGCAACCAACCGGGCCAAAGACTTGGAACAGCACCGTCGGTATAGACCGCACTCGCAAGCCCGACGGTTGAGAAAAACCAGACAGGTCAGGATCAATTTTTTTTCCTCGTTTACAAAAACCGCATTCCTCCCGGCCAGCCACGCGATTTTATTTCGGCCGTTTACGCGCGATACCACCTGGCATCATCACCACCACTACCAACCATCACCCCGTCAACGATATTTCGTAGTTTGTATTTATTTATTTATTTGGAGTTTTTTTCCACTGCGAAACCTTATACACTCTGATCGGGTGATTTTATTTTTTTCACTCGACCGGAGCTCTGAACACCCGGACTTGTCTTGGGCATTTCCATTATGAATTCTCTCGTTCTTACTTCTTTGTATACGTTTTTGCCGCACTTGAAGTTTTCCGATTCCATTAGATTCGATTTCGAAAGTGGTTTTTTTTTTGTTTTCATCGAAGTTTATTAATTATTGTATACACAATATTATTCAATTTTGTTTCGAATTTTGTGTTTTCAATTATTATTCTCTCGCCTGTGTAAGTTAGTTTCGCAGCGTGGGAGCTGCTATGGTTCGGGCGGGTTACAAACATCAACAAATTTAAAGTGGATATTACTTACATTTATTTTGACTACTTTAATATTGTGATTGTCGGCGTGCGGTCGTCGTGTTATTATAGTGTGTGTGTGTGTGTGTGTGTGTGTGTGAGTGTGCTCTTATATTATGAACAAAATTCAAAATTAAACTACTGGCGATACGTAATTATTATAAGTACCCACTACCCACTAAAGAGTAGTTGTAAGAATGGCGGGTGAAGCTGGTTGCATCGCAAACTTTGTACAAAGTTTAGTTTGATTATAATATTATACCGTTTATGTAGTAATGACGTTTCGGTGAAAAACAATATCGTTTGGAATCGTCGTTTTTTCCACTGGCGTTTTATCATCTATTGTGAGTCAATATAATGAAGCAGTAATCGCCGCCTCGCTATATCCTCTCGGTACCTAATCTATTATGCTGTTGCGTGTAATATTTTTTAGCATTGATTTTGAAATACTACCATAAATAGTAATTCGTTTTAAATAACGTCCATTTGTCGGGATTTAATTATCGTATTGCAGATAACGTAAAAACGAGTCGTCGGCATTTTTTTTCATATGAACAATTTTTATTCAATTGATACGCCGTACTGTAATGATTTTTTTTCTTAATTTCCGAACAAGTTGTATTATTATATTATACCATACTACAAAATTGTATTGTCGTCTTTCCCTTTCTGATATAGATTAAGTAATAACATTCTTTCTCGGTTCAATGTTACGTATTTTTAAAGAGGCCAGGTCTGAAAGTTGTGCGAGCGAGAGGTAATCGCGTTAAAGAGATGGCGTCAATAGCGGTTGTTCCACTCGCGCATGTGTTTACTGGTATTGCACCCAATATATTTTATGTTATGCAGCTGAAGTGTTCATGATTGTGTATTTAAGTCGGTCTGCGCACTGTGCATACACACATCGAAATAATATTTTAAATTATTATGTGTACATATCGTAAAAATAACTTAATACAGATCGCAATCGGGAACGGGCTTCAGAGCTATTGTGAAATCGAGTTTATTACACCAACGCGATTTCAATTTGAATGTCTGGTGTAATGTAACAGATAAGATTTGTTTTAAATTGTTTTCTTTGTGTGTAGAACGCTCTTGTCGTTCTGTTTTCGCTCTTGATAATTCTACATAATTAATCAACATTTTATAGTTTTTAATTATTAAATAATGCGTTTTTCCATGGTTTTTAAAGGTATAATTGTAAACATATATAATAACTATTTCTTTTTAAAATGTAATCTGCTCGGTTTTATTATCTCGTCTAATTTGATGTTTTTTACAATGTTCCACGAAAGTATGTCATAGGAATTTTGATATATGAATCGACGAAAAACATACAAGAACGCGAGGTGTCTATTAAAAATGATATATATATATATATATATGCGTCAACCAAACAAGAGGTTTGGATATCGTGCATAATCCGATTGGATGAGGTATCGTCTCTTCGAATGAAGGAATTTAATAACCAATATGAGAATGAGAGATGTGTGCTGCAAAATGAAATCGGTTGTCTGATTTTTTTATTATTATATATTTTTTTACCGTAACGGTGTGTCGAATGTACCTACGGGTCTTATCTGACAATGCATTAAAAATATTTAAAAAATAATAATTCGTGGTTTTTTTTAAGCAAGGAAAGTTAACAGTAATTTACAGTTGTTTTTTTCTGTGTGAATTAAGAATTTAAATTTCTTTATAAAAGTTAAACATTTTTTTTTTGAACTTCATCTCTATATATATTTTTTTGATCGACTCAAGACACTGTGATTTTGCCACAGACTCTTCATGTTCGATTAACGAGTTTCTTCGACCAAAATCTGTGACCTTGATTGTTTACGATTCACCGTAATAATAGTTTTTACGGTTATATTACTATTGGCTAAAATAATCTTAGTTTCAGAAGTATAGGTACCACTTTACCGTGTGTAAATTGAATAAATTAAATCGATTAGCTTTTAAGAGAAATCGCGAATAAGTTGTATATGTGTATTAACTAACATCTATCATCTAACATGTATTCGTATATGCGTAGTTAAACTATGCTAATCGATCTGATCGAATTCTATACTTAAATAATACACCACCGTGATCTGTATCATATTTTTTAGGATTTCACTGTAGTGCGTACATTGTCCGGACGGTTTTTAGGATTTGGTCGGTACCTTCTGTTTTAACTTGAGCGAATAAACCAAACCGCGTGCGCAGTCAATCCAATGTGTTTGAAGCGCTGTGTGTCTAATATTCCCATCTTGTTTTGAATTTTAATTCAGCGGTAATATTTTCCGCATTAGCAGACTCGAATGTCATGCATATGTATGAATTATTTTGAAGTTACGTGCCAAATAATAAAGAATGTTAACTCCTAACGATTTTATTTGCCATATAAACATTGGACGAGTTTAAAAAAAAAAACAAAAAAAAATACTTTCGTTTCTCTAAGCTTTCGCCGATCATCGTTTGTTTCTCGTAGTCTCGTAGTGTGATGTCTGAAAAAACCGTTGAAAACTATTTACAGCCGGTGTTATAAGATACTCACTGCCTAACATTAATTGTTGTCCCAAAATTTAGCGGCTCAGTCAGTAAAAACACTTTTTTACGTATTTTTACGTCTATGCACACGTTGCGTTGACAACTAAGCACTCTAACACGACGGTGTCTTCGGAACACGTTCACTATGTGGCATAATGTTTAGAGAATATTTATTTTGTTTAAATGTGTGAGGTCTTGACATTTAACCCAGCACAAGTTTCGACCTTCATCTTACTGTCCTACTCCCCCCCTCCCCAAACATGCATAGGCATATAAATGTTAATAAATAAACAATACGTACCTAGTAATATATTTATTTTGATGTTATAAATGTATTAATATTGTAGTTTATGAGCGCTGTAGACGGACTGAACCTTGAGGGTGGGTGGAGGGTCTTCTGAAAATATCATATGGGGACTTAATCCCCCCAAGTGTCCCCTCCAAATATCCGACTATGGGCCTAGCTACTATATATGTGTATATTATACGCGTACTGCACAGTAATAAGCTAATAACTATTGAAGGATTCTCTACTTCGTGGTCGTTGTCGTCACATTTCGCATTGTGCAGAACGTAAAAAATAGTAAAACACTTACTAGTTACTCGTATTTCCAAATAACATCGATACACCTATAGACTATTAATATAATAATATAATAGTAATAGCAGTAACAACAACGACAACGTGCTGTATAATGCTGCGTCCATTAGGCGTGTTTTACACGCGCACGAGTACCTAACCTATACGTGTAATGCGTACACTTCGAAACGGAGAGAAAAAATATTTTATCTTACGACTTGTTGTTCACCTTGATGATCGCCACACTGGCTTCCACAAATGGGTATCAACAATACACAATATGATAATAATAATAATAATAATAATAATATTATCTACCGCGTTACATGAACACGCTTTTGGCGATTCGTTTTTGCTTATAAATCGTGTTGTGGCGATCCGTTTTAGCTGTCTACTTAAAATCACGTTGAATAATAATCATAATAAGGAAGCTCTTGCTTCAGTGAATAGAAGAGTCATTTTTTCTCCTATTACAGTATTAAAACAGTACTGTGCGTCGGGGCCGTTTATTATTAACTATTATACACCATAATATAGCCATTCGGAAGTTTTCATTATAATTTATTAGTATCATATACGCGGATTTGAATGTTCGTTTATTAAATTAAAAAATACTATTTAATGCACTAATATTATTACAAAACTTAAGAATATGGTTAAAAAATATCTAATTGTAGTATTTAAATGTAAGTGATGACAATTTATTTGGTCAGACCATTGTGCTGCCGCCTCTGCTTTTGTTTGGTACATAGGTAAAAACATAATAGGTATAATAAAAATAATATGTCAAGCAAGATACATAAAATCAATTATATTTTTAGAGTCAATAGAGTCATCATAATCGAAGTTGAATTTGAAATATATTAAGACATTGTTCTTAGTAAATAGTACTTCTTACTTCATACTCTTGAGAATTAATAGTCGATTCATTAATACGTATTACATCAGTAAATGTTTATACATCATTCCTCAGAAATTTATAATATTATTTTAATTTAATTTTGTTTTCCATATAATCTTTTAGTTTTATATTTTTTCGTGTACATAAACAGTGTATTTCAAAAACAATTTTATCATAAGTAAAAGTTATTGATAAAATTAAAACTCTATTAATTCATCATTAATTCTCTAATTTTTAATGCAAAGATGTTTTAGCATAAAAAAGTTAAAAATCTTAGTGTATAAAACGTGATATAAACCATTTGACACTATCGAGAATTAGAAAATAGTACAACGTAACAATAATAATAATTATTATTATGATTATTATTATAGTAATTTGGTTGGTACTTTGCTTGTATAAAATTAATTATGATATTATATAATTTATCATATTATTAAATAGGCATTAAATTGAAAATGGTAATATTTAAAACATATTATACGCATCCTAGATACTAGACATCCTAGATACTCGTGTATTTGTTTAGTAGTTCTTTTAGAGATTATCGAACTTAAGCCATGTAGTTTCAATTGATAATGGTTCGAATTTTGTAATCCTAAGAAGTAGTGAAACATTAAAATAAGCCCTAAAAACATCGAAGAAAAAAAGTATTAGAAAAATGTTTTTATTTGTTGTTATTTGGATATCTTGTATTAAAACTTTAAAAGTAATTGATGTATTGTTTATG